TTAATCAGTTTAAACTGTTTTAATCAATTGTTATATGCCATAATCATAACTATTAAATAATTATTAATTATGTTTTTTGCTTTTAGAAAACAGACATTTAAAATTATATTAAAAAATTTTACTTTATCTTATACTGCTGATTTAGGTGAGCAGTGTGACGTCATACTGAAATAGCCAGCTGCCGGGGTCTTCAGTACATTCATCGACTGACAAATAGCATGACTCGCTGTGGAGTGCTGCTACATCGACTGAGGGTTTGGGATGGGGCAGCAATCTTTTCATTTATTATTCATCGTTTTCCTTTTCTTTTTCTAAAAAAGCAGTATCGATTTAGATAAGCAAAAAAAAAAGAGCAAGTGCTCACATAAATATGCTATAGTAGATATATATAAAAAACACTTTTTGTACTATTTTGCGCATTTTAGTAATTGCGGTCCCCCATGTTTATTCTCAAAAATTTACTTTTAATTTCAGTTAAAAAAAAACAGTATATGTTCAGGAAATGAAAAATACAAAAGATATTTTGTTTTAGCAGAGGTGGAAAGTAACGAATTACATTTACTCTCGTTACTGTAATTGAATAGTTATTTTGTGAATTTCTACTTTTTAAGTATTTTTTTAAATGCGTACTTTTACTTTTATTTTTTTTCTAAAGTATTGTACTTCGCTTCGTTTGAAATTATATGCGTTACTGAGTAAAAAAACTTATTATGTATTGTTTAATCTGATAAATACTACGATTTAATTTTTTTTGTTTTTTATGAGTTTTGCTCACTTTAATAAAAATGACATTTTTAAATTGTTTAGGAAAAAATGTTGAGTGCTCTCATAACGAAAAACACCCCTTACTTTTGAAGCAGCTTGTTGACGACGTTGTTTTAAAGCATCGCGAGAAACGGTGTTGCGAAAAGCTTTTGGATCATTGTGAGGTGCGTAATAAAACATTTTCGAAAGGGGCTGTCCATTAATTACGTCAACAAATTTTTTGAAATTTTTACCTCCCCCTCCTCCTTATCAACAATTTGTAAAATTTCCAGAAACCCCTTTTACAAAATTACGTCAACTTTTGATTACCCCCCTCCCCAATACCTAATACAAAGAAACTACGCTACAAACTCAGCCTAATTTTCCGTTATTTAAGCAATGAAGCTTGAAAAAAAAAAAAAAAATTGTTGACGTCAACTTTAATTACCCTCCCCCCTCCCCGTGTCAACAATTGTCAAAAAAATTCAGACCCCCCTCCCCCCTTTTTTTGTTGACGTAATTAATGGGCAACCCCAAAGAGCCTAATAATATGGCGTGAACTTTTTTTCAACATGTATTATTTTGTTACCAGATATCAACGATTCAACTGAATTTTAACTGCTTTAGCTTGGTTTCTTTTCATTTTTAACGACCATAAAAAAATATTTCTGTGCAAAAATTTTTCACGGAAAAGAATAGACTACGTAGTCTATTAAAATTATTATAAAAAACAAAAATCACGTACGTGATTTTTGTTTTTTTTATTCGACAGCTTTGTTACTGAAAAAGTAACGCAGCTTTCGACTGGTAACTTTTACTTGCACTTGAGTAAAATTTCACTCAAATAGCAATACTTTTACTTAAGTACAATTTTTTTTTTACTTTTTCCACCTCTGTGTTTTATTACATTGGTAATGAAAATTAACATTGAAAGTGAAAATTCACATCATTACATTCCTATAAATTATTAAAGCGAAATTTAAAAAACAAAATTGCAAATCATTTATTTATCACCTGAATCACTAAGTAACGTTTTGAAAATTATAAGAGACATAGGCAATACGTTGTAACGAACTTCCTCCAGGATTAGTGAAATTAGGCGACCCTGATCTGTCTAACAAAAAAGTCTATGAAAATGAATCCAAACATAGAAGCAGTTTTTTTACGAGTTTTCTTATAATAAAAAACATCTTGACCAAAATAATAAGTAAAGATAATTGACCAAAATTTTATAATATTTAGTCAGGGCTTTTTATAGCAATCATTCAGTTTTTTTTTGCCTAGAAGAAGAGAAAAAAAGAAGTTTTTTATAATAAGAGCTAAGCTTCTTTGTAATTTGTTTCCATGTTTGGATTTATTTTGATAGATTTTGCTTCGGATCAGTCTTGCAGTGTTGAAGAAATAGTAAAGACTTTTTACCAAATGATCAAAATAAATTCCAAGACCATTTTTTTTGTGTATGGCAAAATTTAGGTACATGATTGATAAGTATGGAAAACTTTGGCGTTAAGTAAACACTTAAAATCTTCAAACACTATCTATTTGTTTGAAAATTGTTCGGTAAATTATTTCTTTCAAAATTTCCCAATGCTGACAAGTCTTAACATTATATAATTTTTGGTATTTTTCTCAAGTTCATTTCCAATCAAAGTTCTTTCTTTTTAATAATTACACGGTTAACTGATAACTTATTTATTTTATTTAAACTTCAGTACAACATTTTTATGGAGTTTTTAGTAAAGTAAAACGTTTAACTAACTGAAAACAGGTTTGTGCATATCTGTTTACAGATATGCACAAACCTGTCATCATACTAAAACGGGGTTAAACTATTTATTTAAAATATTATTCAGACTAAATGTTACATGGTGTTTTGGCACCTTTTGAAGATTTTGTTTGACCAATTGAATTTTTAACCTTTTTACTGAAAAAGCTGTGACTATCTATTGAACATGGGAATACTGGAAAAACAAAAAAATTTTCACTGTATACCAAATTCTATTTCTTTAAGTACAGAAAATTAAGTTAAAATAATATAGTTGTTATAAAACGCTGCAAAATCTGAAATTTGTCATTGATTTGGATAGTTATCTTTTCTATTTACTATTTGTAGAAGAAAACTTTTTCTTCAAATTTTAGAACATAAGTTAAGTTTTATATTGGAGCATGCAAACACTTAAATGCCAAAGTTTCTTATCCTGATCAATTATGTATTTAAGTTCTGCCATACAAAAAAAATGGTCTTAGAATTTATTTTGAGCAATTGGTAGAAAGTCTTCACTATCCCCTCAACGCTGGATCACTGATCCGTTGCAAGGTCTATTCTAATATGTGCAAACAAGGCAACAATTTACTTAGGAATTTAACTCTTTTAATGAAAAACATCTTGTTTTTTCGGCAATTTAACCAAAGTTTTAAAGGCGCGAAACAATTGCAACTACAAAAAAGGCGCAAAAAAAAAAAGGGTGCGAAATAGTACAAAAAGTGCCATTAATAGTAAATAGGAGTTTTTTGATTTGGTGGACTATATACATAGTGATAAGTAAATTATACTCTTTCATGAAGCAATTAAATTATTTTGGGCATAATTCAAAAAACTTAACTTTAGTTAAGGCTAACCGTGTACGATTTACAATATTTCTCATGCTGTTTCAATATTTCTCATGCATTTTTTTCCAAGTAATTTATATTTCTAAACTATTTTATAGTTATTTTTAAAGGTTCTTAAAAAGAGATCGTTGCAAATATTTTTATAAATATTTAAACACCGATTTCAAAAAGACTTCACAAAGATTTGTGATCTAATTTTTTATACTAAAGATAAAACACAAAAAAAAAATCCTTGCTATGCAAATTTTTCAGAATACAAAATAAAGTTTGTCTAACATGACAATAAAATGCCATTGACCAAAACATATTAGTAAACTATTTGCTATAGCATATATAAAATAGTACTAAAGATTAAAATGAGCATTTCATTATTGATTTTCATTAACTTTAAGTTATTTTATATTGCAAAAGTTTATTTGAAAATGGTTTTCAATTCACTAACTTTTTTTTCAAACTTACGTTTTATTGTACAATAAGCTTATCCTTTGCATTAATTTAATAAATCCTTTTTATTATTACATATTGATACGCTTGTGACATTTGATATTTTAATAAAAGTTTTTTTTTGTTAAAAGTTTTAGATATTTAGTAAAAGTTTTTTTTTTTAATATATTTTTTTCTTTGATTAATTTTAATGCAATTTTCCGATGTTAGTTTTTATCATTGTTTTTATTTATACTTTTTAAGTTTAATTTGATAGTTTTTTATATTTCATTAATCGATTTTTTTTTAGTTTTTTAAACCAATAATCAGAGTAACCTTTTTTTAAACTAATAATCGGACTTTTTTGTTAGCGAAAGAAATGGCTGCTATTGCAACTAGATGGTGCTTTTTTTACTATTTTCTAGGTTAGCATTTTTTTTTGTATATCTTTTTTTAATATATATATATATATATATATATATATATATATATATATATATATATATATATATATATATATATATATATATATATATATATATATATACATATATATATATATATATATATATATATATATATATATATATATATATATATATATATATATATATATATATAAATATATATATATATATATATATATATATATATATATATATATATATATATATATATATATATATATATATATATATATATATATATATATATATGTTTAGTAAAAATAAAGAACTTTAATAAATATATCATTATAAAACTTTTTTTATAATGACGAAATATAGTATTTAAATATATAGAACTAATTTTAGCTGTTATTGCTAATTATTTAAATAAACAGTAATGATATTTAAAAACAAATCGCGTGTCTACGTGTAAATTACATGTTTTATAAGGAATAAAGAATATTTTACGTAATAATTTAGAATTACTTCAAGACTATTACATATTTTATTAATTTCAAGAGCATTCTAACATCTAGTTAAAAATTTTTCATCGATTTGATTTCACGAGGGAAAATACTGGACATTTAGTGATTCTACAAAACTGCTTTTTTTTTCTTTTTTCCAAAAATTCTTTTCCTAAGTGTTACTTTCTGAAAGTAGGGATCATTACGGTTCCCAAAAGGTATGACATGGTCCTGGGGCATTTTTCCTGGCTTAAACCTACTTCCTCTATGGTGTGTTCGTAAAACTATTGTTATGTATATTTAGGTTTATGGCTTTTATTTTTGCGAAGACACGCAACAATCATTTTTGCAATTTTCTCAACTACCGGATCCCCGATTCAAGATGCGGTTCTAATGTAAAATACTACAAAAGTTTTAATAAAAATAAAATCGAAGAAATAAAATAGTGATAAAATAATAACGTTTGCTTTTACATCAGATTGAAATAAACTATGTGTCTATCTATAAAGGTAAACTCATATCTGATTATGGCAACAGTTCTTAAGTCCCATTTTTTATTATTTGAAATTTTTTTTTCAAAAACCAGAAATATTTGAATAAAATAATGTAGTTTTTGCCATGTTTTTTTCAAAAAGTTGACGCATTATTCGTTTAACTTTAAAAAGTCAAGAAAATATATTATATGCAAAATTCGGTGTTTATTAAGTATTATCAGATGTATTAGACACGTGATTATTTCTGTCTGACATTTTAACTTTTATGAACCGTTTAAAAACAGATATTTTTACAGTATAACATTATACTATATATGATAAAAAAATATTTTTAAGCAACAATAAACTACTATATTGGATAAATTTCAACTAAAAAAGGTTCTACCCTGGGATTGTAAATATGGTACTATTATGGAATTTTAAAGATGGTACTATTTTGGGAATCATCTCGAATCACCACAATAATTGCGTGATAAATTTTTGCTTAAATGTTTTACTTTTTTAGTGCTTGCATTTTAAAACTACTTTTATAAAGTTAAAATAAACATCTTTTATAAAGTTTTTATAAACATCTGCATAACTTAATACAGTTATTATACACACAGATATATATATATATATATATATATATATATATATATATATATATATATATATATATATATATATATATATATATATATATATATATATATATATATATATATATATATATGTAGTATTCATCCAATCATTAAGCAACCAAAAGTATAAATATACAATTTAGATCATAATTATTGATTTTCTATTACTATTTACTATTTTAAGATGTAGTAGATTTTTGACCTTGTAGTTAGATCTAAATAACTTTTTTTTATTCTTCACTTATGCAGCAAACAGCATTAAAACAACAAAAGTTATTAAAGATAAAAAAAGTTGTTAAAACAAGAACAATTTTTGAGGATGTAGAGGTCCTGAGCAGAAAACTACACTTTATAATAGACAACACAATATAATAGGATACACAACGTTTGCAATAGGCAAACTTTTTTGTTTTAAACTAGCGATTCGCAACCTTTTCAATGCTGCAATCCTTTGATAACATTTGCCAAGCTGTGGCGACCCCAACAATAAAAATTATTTGTAAACATTGTAAACATTTCATAGAGCCTCATCTTTAAAGTGTCGATTGTGTGCGACTTTTAGTTGTATAATGTACAATGCACAATGCACACTTATAATATTTAAAAACTTACAATATTTTAAGTGTACATATTACAATGTACATTATACTATGTATAATATAGATTGCACAATATAAATAATCAAACCAATTCAGCAAACCGTCCGTAGAACAAATTTAAGGACCGATTGTTAGGTTATTCTCTTTTAGTATCATTTATACTTTTTGTACTTGTAATTAATATAGATTTTAAGCTTGTTATTTGTTATGACTGATAAGAACCATGTAACGAGGCTAAATTATGGGATCAGGCTATATCGTCATGCTATATCGTCATGCTCATTAAACTTTTCAATAGCTTGTGGTACGGATAAAATTCTTGTCACATTCTTCCAAAAGTATTTTTTCAAAAATTTCTTCTTTATTCTTTAAACTATTTAACAAGTGAAAATCTTATTTTTATTACTGCTGGAAAATAACATTTTTGGTTTTTAAAAGCTCTGAAAATTGCTCAAACTATTCTAAATATAGCCCAATCAGTCTTGAAACGATTGAATCATTCCTAATCAAAGTATTGAAGTTCTTTGATGGAAAAAACTTTCCTTCATTTCCAGTAGCATTTGGAGTAACACAAGGTTCCATCTTTAGTCCTGTTGTTCTTCCTCATACTCTGTCTCTATAAATTTTTTATTTGTCCCTCTATGGTATGCTTTTGTTATCCTTGAGCTGCTTCTTTTAATGAGGTTCTTTCTTCTAATGAGATATTTTTTAAAAGTTTATCCTAAGTTATTAAATTATTAATTTTAAATGTTGATATTTAATTACGATCAGCTATAGCTGTTAAGCCTGAACCTCAAACACTATAATAATCGCTGTTCAAGTGAGCCATCATCACTTGTTCTTTCAAACAAAATTCAATCTCAAACGACTCATTCAAAATTCAATCTTATCTCAGCTAAGATGCATTTTTTTTTCTCTAATTGTTCCTACATGCACAAAAGTTTTATTCATCTAGTAGTTTTCCGCGCATATAGATGCTTTGGGATTTTCTTCTGTCCAAATGTTTTCCAGACATATACTATTGAAAGTTTTTAAAGTTACCTCTCAATCGCTTTCTTGCTCTTTACCTCTCTCCTTTGTTTTCCGCTAACTGCCACTTTTATGAGTAATTGCTTGCAAACTTTCTTAGAGTGAGGCTGTCGACGGGTATCTGGGTACCCACTTGTTGATAACTGCCCAGTAGCATAATCAAATGACGATTACCCGTTATTAAATAAGTTTAAAATTCATTTATATTTTAAGATTAAAATTAATAATCTTAGTATAACAATTTAGTATTATTAACTTGGTACGCGAGAAAAGATCTTGAAGATCTTGTTGTTAAAAACTTCAATAGTTACAATTTTTTTTTCACCATCAGAATTTCTGAAAACATTGAACATAACGTTCGGAAAGTTATTTGAGTTTTTTATTCAGAAACCCACTTATTATTCCTCACGTTATGTACAATGTTTCCTTTTAGGTAAATCAGAAGTTATCTAACTCGTTGATTAGTTAGCCTCTTGGACAAAGTTCATTCAAAACCTTGAAGATGGAAAAAGTTATTATTTTGAAGCTCATTCAAAAATCCAAGTTTCAGTTAAGCAATTATATTTAAAATGTATTAGTTTTTTAAATGGTATTATGTTTGAAAATTTTTTTATTTGAAATAACTCATGCTAGTAACATCATAGTTAAAATTATTTAATAGTTTTGTTACAACATCCTATATTTAGGATAAGTGACAAGTGGCTGTTGGTGGATTTGACTTTTTTTATTTTATAGAATGAAATTGGCTTCCTCAATATTACTCAATATTTCATAAATGATTTTGTGGCTACAGTTTTTATTATCACATTATCACATTACCACATTAGTTGATATAATTTTTAGTGCAGTCATTTTAGCAAAAGTAAACCCAGGAAAATGTCCTAAATTAACTAAAAATTAGTACATACTCTTGTAACATAATATAGTAAAACCAAAATAATCTCCCATTGACAGATTTTGGGGACAATGAGTAATAGACATTTTTACATAATATTGGATTTACTTCATGTTTTAAACTTAGAAAACCGGTTTATGCTAAAATCTCATCAATTAAAGATAATAATAACTTGAAATTTTGATAAGTGTTTAAAGTGATATAACAGTTAAAAATTGAAACATAAAAGTAAAAAAAAAACGAAATACAATAATCGTTCTACTAAATCGTATAAATTAAAAGCGTATAATTAAATAAAAAACGAACAATATAAAACAACAATTAAAGTAAATCAAAAATTTTTTTTTTCGATGCCTCTTGCGTCACTTTTGTCTTTTTCATCGCTTTACTTACGTGTTAATTGTTCCTAAAATAGGACTGGTAAAAAATTGGTAACAAATTTTAAAATCCCATTACTTGAAACATTTTTACTAAATTATTGTAACAGATACATTATGTGGGTTTGCAATCGTTTCTCCCCGAGATTACCCACATTATGCTTTTAAACATAACAACCTGTGTTTGTGACATGGCCTCATACTGATTTTCAGAAGTATCTATGCGTTTAATATAACGTAATATAAAAAAAATATACATACTTGGTGTCTTACATACTTTTATTTACTGCATTTTGCTCTGATATCAAATTTACCATTTTTGACTTGTTAATTTGCTGATTGGTGTGTTGCTGACGTAATGCTGTGACATTGTTTTACGTCATCGTGACAGTGCACAATGACGTAAAACAATTTTTCAGATGAAACCATGGGTGAAATATGCAGATTTATTAAAATCCAAAATATCCAAAGTTATTTAGTGATAATAGTTCCTGCTTTGACTCCCATCCCAAGTCCTCAGGGTTAAGCAGGAATGAATTATCTTGTACCATTCAAACAACTATCTAAAATAACAATGAATAGCCATTTATTGGACTGGCTAGTAGATTCTATAACGAGTTAATAAAAAATATATATGTTAGCTGTAAATGCACTTGTAATCTATTGTAATAAGATGTTTGCTCCTTGCTACTTATTTGGCACAATTAATCCCTTGCGTGTCATTTTGAGATGTTTCTTGTATATAAGATCACAAACCCTTCTACTGAAGCCTTGTCAAAATCTTCTTCTTTTGCCGAAACAGCCTTAAATGTTGCAAATATCTGCTAAAAAATGTTAAGCTTTAATAAAACATATTCAAGTAACTGTTTAAAAAAACTTTTGCAATACAAAAACATGTTAGCTGGTAACGTTAACAAAAATTTCTTATAAATAAGTATATTCTCCAATGGGCACATGGACGTCCATAGTACGCCTAAGGCAGTCCAAAATAGACGTTCATTGGACGTACCAAATAAAACAACTTTTCTTCGTCTGTTTTGGACGTCTAAAGAACGACGTCTAAAGTATAATTTTTATTGTTGGAGTCGCCACAACTTGGAAAATGTTATCAAGGGGTTGTATCATTGAAAAGGTTGCGAATCGCTAGTTTAAAACAAAAAAATTTGCCTATTGCAAACGTTATATATATATATATATATATATATATATATATATATATATATATATATATATATATATATATATATATATATATATATATACATATATATATATATATATATATATATGTATATATATATATATATATATATATATATATATATATATATATATATATACATATATATATATATATATATATATATATATATATATATATATATATATATATACATATATATATATATGTATATATATATTTATATATATATATATATATATATATATATATATATATATATATATATATATATATATATATATATATATATATATATATATATATATATAGTTATACAAAATATATATAAAGTAAAGTGATAGTTACCATTGGAAATTGCAGTAATACAATGAGAAGAAAACCATGGAGAAGAGTGAGACTTGACTTGGAATTGTCGAGAGGGAATAAAAGATTCAATGCCAACCTGAATCCAAAAGGTTACATTAGAAGCACTTTTGTTAGCAGAAAGTTAAAAAGTTTCTACCTAAGGGCAAAGAAAATCACGAAAAGAGTCCCAGTCAGCTTTAACGTGGTTGTCAGAGGTACAATGATAAGGAGATTCCGATGATGAAAAAGAATGAGATAATTGTTTTAGAGAGTTTAAACCGTCATCAGAAGTCCCTAAGGGTAAATGTGGAGAAACTGAGCTTACTTGGATCAAAAACAAGACATAAGTCAAGTAGAGAAGGTAAATGATTGGGATTGTCTGGAAAGCGAGTCGGAAAGTTGACTATTTGTGTTAGAGATTGAGAAAGGTAAAAGTTGTGGGCTTTACAATCTGCGGAGCCGCTGTCAATAGAACCAAGCCATTCATTGTTATGAATATTAGGTCAACAACAACAATATTGGCTGAAGGATAGAGAGAAAGGACTTGGTCATTTTAATCAAAAAAAATATAGAAAAGAGTGCAGTCTTGAGATGAAGGAGAGCGATATAGAACAAAGTGAAAGGCAATAGAGTTGTGGTACTAAAATTTTTTACCAACTAAAAAGTGAAATAAAGTAAAACAGGAAAGAATGAAATAGAAGGTGTACTCTAATAGTTTATTTCTTTGCTGTTTATTGATTCTTAAATAAGTTATTTTCAAATACCTCCTAATGATATTGTAAAGAACTAGTTGTCGTTTTTTTTCTTTAAGTTAATCGTTTATTAGCTGAATAATTAAGAATATAAAATTTTAGATATTTATATCTACGTAGTATATGGACAGTTAACACAGTTTACTCAGTGATCGGATCGTATTTATTTGGATGGAAAACAATACCTTGTAAATTTACTTATTCGTCACACATTCTGTAACAACTAGATTCTGGTATTGCCAGGTAAAAAGAGACGCAAATTGCTTCAAAAATTTTATGTAGAAATAAAATTCAGCAATTTTTCAAATGTTTTAGTCAACTGTAAGCAAAATCTTTCAGCTCTGGTAAAGTGTTTACTCGATTGCAATAATCACTAGATTTTAAAATACATGATTGTTTCCATGCAACATTAATAAAATTGACAAGTCAAAATTAAAAATACGCTGATACGTTGAAACACCATCATCTCATTATCTCAATCTCTACTTGTATCTATTTGCAACTACTAAGTCATCTACTTATATACTAATTATAGAACTTTTATTTGCAACTACTAAGTCATCTACTTATATACTAATTTTTACAAACACAAAAATTGTCAAGATGATTGTTTTATTCACCTTTTAAAGAAAAGAAAAAATGTTTTATTTGTTCTTTTTGGCTATTCTGGTTCTATAACTTTCTTATGATCTACTTACCATCTACTAAGCAAGTACTACCACCACAAGCACTTAACAAAAACAATCCACCCAATTGACAACCGCAGCTTTGCAACAAATGGCATACATCTAACATGTTGACAAAAAAAATGTAGACTTGCTACAACTTGAAGGGAAAAATCTCAATAAATTTAAAATACTGGAGAGATTCTAACAGCAAAAAAGCAGCATTACAAGCAATACAAGGAAATGTGAGTTTAACTTTGATGATAAGCAACAAATATATTAAGCGACAAAAGCGGTTCCAACAACAAAATCAAGTACACCAATCAGCAAATCACAAGTCAAAAATAGTAAACTTAATATCAGGTCTAAATGCAGTATATAAAAGTATGTAAGACACCGACTATGTGAAAGACACCGAGTTCTATTTCAACAAATTGTTGCACAATTAACATCTCAACTCAACCACCAGAACCTTTCAACTACTCAACATTACCACGAAATAAATTTATTTTCATTAACTGTTGTTTTTTTTTTTCAATTGTTATCATTAACTAACTTTTTTTATTGTTTTTTGTAATAAATATTCATTAATCATCAATGAAATTGCATATTTTATTGTCCTCAAATATTAGGATGGCATGAAATAGTTTTTTTTTTTTTTTTTTTTAACAATATAAAGCTTTTTAAAAAACGAAAGATTGACTATATTTAAACACAGTTTAAAATTCTCTACAACTTAATAAGTGACATTTTTTATTACTTAAGAATAAAATGACGTTTAGTAAAATTTTTAGAAATTTTAAAATATTCCTGCACTCTAAAAAAAATCATAACGTTGATTGAATACAGTACAAAGCAAGCAGAATTTAACAATTTTGTTCGACTATATCTTATTTAAGACTCGTGATAGCAATATTTTGTAACAACATGAAGCGTCATTTTGAAAAAACATATTTATTTTATTCATTTTTATATATGGATATTATCGGTTCATTCTTAAGCTAATATGTCATTTGACATTCAATATTTTTTTATAAATATTTTAAAGAAAAAGTCTTGTTTTCGATTTTAAATTACTGCTGCATCTTACAAGTTCATAAACAACTTTGTAAATTGGAATATTTATATACAGTTTTTTATCTTTATGGTTACCTTCTTATAATATATGTGGGCTTACTTCATTTACAAAATATATATGTATTAGGGTGGTTCAAAAAACAACATTTATGAAAAATATCTGCAACTCGCACCTTAATATGTTCTATATGATAAAATTATACTGAATTTAAAAGTTTTTTGAATAAAAAATATTTTTAGGGGTGACTCAAGACCCTTAAACATTTAATGGGTCCCTAATATTATTAAGAAAAAAACTTTTCGAAAGCATGTCTTGTTGGTTCTCAATAGAAGCTTAATTATATAAAAAATTCAAAAATAATATATATCTCATAAAAATACATCGCTAAAAAAAATTATAATCAAAAAATCTTTTTAAATTCCCAGTTTTTCGTTTTTAGTTTAAAAAACGTCATTTTCTGTTCACTAAAACCTAAAATAATAAATTTTTTATGAAATGATTATTTTTGAAACTTTTATATATTAGCTTCGTTTAAGACCCAACAAGACCTAACTTTGAAAAACTTTTTTCTTAATAATATTATTGACCCATTAAATGTTAAAGGGTCTTGAGGCACCCCTAAAAAAATTTTTTTTTCAAAAAACTTTTAAATTCAGTATTATTTTATTTTTAAAATATTAAGGTGCGGGCTGCAGATATTTTTCATAAATGTTATTTTTTGAACCACCTTAATATGTGTATCTTGCAATATGAAGTGGGCGTCAATAAAGCAATTTGGAAACTACAATACAAAAAGAAAAAAAAAGGTTTCAATTTTTTTTTTTTAATTTAAAATATTTGCATTTGAAAATATTGTTATTGCTCGGCAATACAAATCTAGTTTTTAATAAGGTGTTTAGTAAGTTCCAGTCTCGTGTGAAGCACCAATTTTTAGTATATTCTATTTTCTAAAAAAAGATGGTTAGCAAAAAATTATTGTGATTTATGTTTAAGAACAAAAAAACTTTTAAAAATTTTATGCTAAATGTTGGTTTGACGTGAAATAAAAAGAAGAATAACAGTTACTGCGTCGCATTCAAATCTAGTTTATTATGCTGACATTAATTGTATTTTAATATTTTATACATTTCAAAGAATTTTATTTAATCGGAGTATAGGTCAACAGCCTGCAATTTCCTGTTGCAACGTTTTCAAATAGTTACTCGTAATTACTTATCTGTTATGTGGTTTATTCATTTTATTATAATTTTTTATTTTTTAATTGAAAAAAGTATTTTCTTTTATGTAGCTTTGAGGTATGCTTCAACATTGATGTTTTTGGTGTCAACTGATGATATTTCAAGACTTTTATTATTTAGCCATGTAAACTTGTCAATTAACAAAACCATAACTGATTCTTTTGAAAGTAATTCAAGTAGTTCTTTAAACAATGAAATAGTGATAACCTCAAATATTGGTACAACTATAAACAATGAAATAACGATAACCTCAAATATTGGTACAATTATGATAACACCTTCAAACTTTGATACAGTTTTGACCACACCAACTACAAGTTTAAACTTTAATACAGTTTTGACTACACCAACTACAAGTTTAAACTTTGATACAGTATTGACAACACCAACTACAAGTTTAAACTTTGATACAGTTTTGACCACACCAACTACAAGTTTGACCACACCAACTACAAGTTTAACTTCAAGTACAAGTTTATATGCAGCTTTTACAAGTGAAACCATTTTTTCTTCTCCCAGTACGCAAATTGATTTTCAACCCAGTAAACAATTTAGTTATTTTACGTTTTCAAAGTCTTCCATCATTTTATCTACTTTTTCTTCAAATTTATTTTTGAGCAATAATACATTGTCCACAAATGGCTTTTTAACAACTGGTTTAATATTACCACTTAAAACGTATACTTTTGCGTTTTCCTCAGATATTTATGTTGATACACCTCGTGCAAGTATGGAATCAAGTGTTTCTATTGTTTCCATTCCTGACTACGCAGTGTTGATAATAAATTTAAAAATGAAAATTTTGACAAATTTTACTGCCGGACTCAGTGATAAAAATAGCATTGAATATGAAACAATGAAAGATCTAATCATTAAAGAACTTTCTAAATCGCAACAAAGTAATTCTGCTTTTATTAACGCAACAGTTATTGGATTTACAATGGGAAGCGTTTTAGTACAAGCACAGTTCTGTTTCGACAAAAGGAATTTAGATCCCAGTGTAGAAATAATAAAGATAGTTCAAGTGAACCTGATTAGGTATTTTGATCAACACTATGACCAAATAGGAAGTTATAATTTGGATATTTACAGTTTCGAATTAAATCAAGTAACTTCTCCATCACCGACTTCAAGTTCATCCAGCTTTCCAGCCTGGTTAATCATTCTCATAATTGCTCTTATAATTAACATTCCCTTAGTGCTTGTAATAATATTGCTTACGGCAAGTTTATTTACTTTATTTAATTACATTAAAAATTTATGGATATATGATTGTACATATATGATATATATATATATATATATATATATATATATATATATATATATATATATATATATATATATATGATATATATATATATATATATATATATATATATATATATATATATATATATATATATATATATATATATGATATATATATATATATATATATATATATATATATATATATATATATATATATGATATATATATATATATATATATATATATATATATATATATATATATATATATATATATATATATATGTATATATATATATATATATATATATATATATATATATACATATATATATATATATATATTACATACATATAAAAATTAATAAAGTTTCTTTTAAATCAAGTTGATTTATAACTTCTATTGTTTTTTTAGTGGAATTTAAAAAAAAAACGGAGAGTTGGTAGCATTAATTCAACATCAAGCAACGAACATAGAGCTAGCGGTAAACATTCAACAATCGAACTTCAAAACTTGCAATTTGCGAGCAATGTTGTTGAAAACATGTATAGAAATGAAAAGGTGAAAATATTTTTTTTGAATTTTAAATTATTTTTGAATTATAAGACACTTTTTTTTTTTATTTTTTGTTTTTATAACATTACTCTAAGAAACGTAACAAAATATGTTTTTATGAACAAAAACTTTTTTTTGCAGGGTTTAAATGGAACTCAATCTAATCAATTATTTTACGGAGAATTAAGAGATGAGGCAATTGACGAAAATCAAGAAAACAACGAATTCAAAATACCCACATATTGTAAATAACTATATCTAATTTCAGTAACTATGACATATATAATATATATAGAGGTAACCTATTGTACTAACAGACCCAGACGGAAGTTTGAAAACGTATAAATTTGTAAAATATAAATGCGCGAAATATAAATTACACGAAGCTTTAAAAATCATAGCTCGTTTAATTATAAATAAGTTTATAAAATTTACTTATAAACTATATTACATCTGTTACTCTTTAGTCTGTTCATTCCTCAGATATTTATAGTTTTTATAAAATGTAGATTTGTAAAAGTAAATTATACATTCTACTTTTTTTTTTTAAATGTACATTATAAACGAATCATGAGAAAAGGGGTTCAGTCATGATAAAGTTTTAAAATTAACTTAAAGAGAAATGAGCTATTGCTAAATAAAAAATTAATCATAAAACTCATGTATCAAAAAATTTAATAAAAAAACAAACAAATAGTTAACAATTAAGAGTAAAACTTTTTATTCAGTATGACGTAATGTTACACAACAAACTTTATCAACTCATAACGTAAGTGTGAAACTCGAATTTTGAAACTCAAATTGTATAAAACTGCTTATTTCAAAATTTATAACTTATAGACTGATCCCATTTTTACAAGAATCGATTCAAGCTTACATATTATTTTTTTTAAACAGTATAAACGTAGATTAATAGTTTTTTTTTAAATGTACATCTTAAATCCATTCCTTAATTCTTTGATATCTTATTTTTAGTGAAATCTTATATAACGGAATTAAAAAACAAACTTTTACATAATAATTGTCGAGAGATTTTTGTTGTGTAAATATTTAAAAAATATAAAAGAATAGTTGACCACTGGTAACTACTGTATTTTTTCTACATAGTTTTACGTTGCATTAAATACTTCATACAATTTTTTAAATTTTGTTTTAGCATTATTTTAGTTCCATTTCAAATATCAATTAATTTTATTCTAGTTGATTTTTTCTTTACTATTTGAAATAGTATTTTTATTTTCATTAGTACTACTGGCAACAAAATGAATGATAAAAAAATGTATTTAATCAACGGTGCTTGAGGTCCGGACAACAATTCCGTTATAGTCTTAAAAAAGCTGCAGAACTCTCTTCAATATTGTCTTATTCTTTTAAAAAATACTTAAACATTTCTTGTTTTTATGCTTGCTGAAAAATGGTTCTTGATTTTATGCTTGCTGGAAAGTTTCAATTTATAAAAAATCTGTAGATTTCTCTGACTTAAACTATCACTCAAATTTTAACAATATTCTTTTATCCTTTAATCTGCGTTAAAGATATGGAGAAAAAGAAAGGTACAGATATTGCTTATTTAATTTGCAACGTTTTAGCGAAAGTGAATCTCGATTTACAAAAATTGAGAGGCCAAGTATACGACAATTGTTCTAATATGGCTGGAATCTATAATGGAGCCCAAGCTCATATACTGGAAAAAAATCCGTTCGCTTTATACATTCCTTGCGGTCCTCATAGTTTAAATTTAGCTGGAGTTCATGCTGCTTAGTCTTGCGCTGAGATCAAAACGTTTTTTGGCAATATCCAAGCTCTCTACGTGTTCTTTAGTTGCAGCCCAGCAAGATGGAAAATTTTTTCACGAAGAGACTGCTTTATCACTTCTCTATCTCTCAGATACTAGATCGTCAGCCCACATAGCAGCTGTAAAACCTTTAGTGAAAAAACCACGAGAAATCATTGCTGCTCTGGATTGAACCGTTTGTCAACTTGACCTAACTGCGGACATGTTGAATCAAACGAAATCGTTGGGCAAATATTTTAAGTCATTTGAATAGTTCTTCTGACCATTTGGTATAAGACACTGCAAAATATTGATAATGTAAGTCGATGTCTCCAGTCGGAGTCAATCACCATTGAAGAAAAAGTCATCCTCATTCAACTACTTCTAGATGACCTAGGTCGCATTCGTTCGTCGTGGAAATGTATTTTGACTGAAGCAAAGCTAGTGGCTGGAAACCTAGGCTTTGAAACAGAATTTAAAGTAAAACGCACAAGAAGAGTGAAAAAATTCCACGAGGAACAATCAAATACAGCCCACTACCACAACGATACAGAAAAGAATTTTGAAGTAAATATTTTCAACGTGGCATTGGACCACATAATTCTACAAATTCAGTCAAGGTTCAATGTGGTGAAAAAGATTTTTTCTCAGTTTTCCTTTATCTGGCTTCAGTCTGAAGACCCTTATTCACAAGATGACAAAGCTCGTCAAATTGCGAAATTCTGTTCAAATGACGTTAAAGAAGACGATCTTATTGAGGAAATTTGCCACTTTGACCGGTTGAAAGCATCGTCTTTGTTCAGTAAAGGCAACTCTCGCAATTTTTTAAATCAAATATATTCCAAAGGCTTACAACCAATTTTCCCGTCGGTATGCATACTTTTGCGCATCTTCCACACAATGCCAGTATCCGTTGCAGAGGGTGAAAGATCTTTTAGTAAACTGAAGAGTATAAAACACCACTTCAGAGCCACCATGGGACAAGAGCAACTTTCAAATCTTATGGCGTTGTCTATTGAAAATGATCTCGCGAAATCATTGTCATATGATGAAGTAATTTCTAATTTTGCCTCGAAAAAAGCTCGAAAATTTTATTTAAATTAGGAATTGTTTATGATGTGGTTAGTTAGCAAAAAATGAAATAAATAAAAAGTTAAAGTAGCTATAAAGGCATACTGTATTGTTTTCCTTCTATGCCAAGTATATATATCAGTATATATATATATATATATATTATATATATATATATATATATATATATATATATATATATATATATATATATATATATATATATATGTATATATATATATATATATACATATATATATATATATATATATATATATATATATAATATATATATATATATATATATATATATATATATATATATATGAGCCATGGCGCAGTGGTTAGAGCATTGGACTCGTGACTCAAAGGTTGCGGGTTCGATTCCAGCTCGAAGCACATAAACGTTATCGGTGAAGTTGGAGACGGAGAGCCAACTTAATAAATGCTGTTCTCCTTGTGGCGGTGTTCTGTGACAAGACCATTAGGACTTCTTAGAGCACCTTATTAACTGAAAAAAAAAAAGAAAAAAAGCGAAATCCATAAAGACGCCAAAAAAGTTGTTGTCCCGGGCGGCTTGAAGGCTCTCGGCGGCCCTGCATGGAAGCCATATATACAATCAATCAGAAGCTCAGTATCTGCTAAGATAGACAATCTTTTTATCTTCCTAACTATTTTTTACTCCTTATTCCATTATCTCTATAAAACTCTATTTTGTCGTTGTATAGAAATTTTCTGCCATATTTAGGTTCTTTCTACTATCAAAGCTTCGCTCTTTTGGATAAGATCCAAACTTGCTTTGTAATTTTTTTGGCACTGCTTTAAGCTGGCAAACTTGAGCTTCTGTCTAATTATCAAAGATCTAATTGTCAAAGTATCAAAGGCTACTTTTACTGTCGTGGGTGACAAAAATTGTGGGTGACCATAATAAATTGTCGTGTGACAATTTATTATGGTCACCCACAATTTTTTACATTCTCAAGTTTCTAAGTCTTTTTTTTTAATTTTTTTTTTTGTGATTTATGCACTCAAAAGTAATTTTATTAAAGAAATGGGTATTTTTTGACAAATAAAAAACATTTAATAAATTAATAATAAATTTTATTATTTAAATATTACTACAAATATATTCTAGATCAATATTTGATGATTCCCCGTTTTGTCCATGGCCGTCCCGAAGAGGTCTTCTATGGGGGGAGGGGGTGTATGTATTTTTTTGCCAGCTAGAAACACCACAATAAAAAAAAAAAAAAAAGGTCCTAAATATTTGCAATTTCCCAACTATAGTTCAAAACTTGCTCAATGTGCCAACTCAAATGCTTAAATAACACCCCCGACACCCAGCTTCGGAACGGCCCTGGTTTTGTCTTTATGATTGCAAAAGCCCTTTTTAGCATAATTTTGATGCATAAATTAATATTGTGACTGATTCATTATTCTTTTGACAATAAAGAGTCTTTCCATTCCCAGTAGGGTGTTTAACAGTTTGAATGATGCGGTCCAATAAGTATTTTCCCTCTTTTTTTATTTTTAAATTTTGAGCCTTCTATGTTAGCACTTGGAAACTTCTCTCATCGCTATAGCATACCTTAAAATATTATACAAGGATTGTTGCGCTATAGCATACCTTAAAATATTATACAAGAAGTGAATCTTCAAAGTTTGAAGTAAGAAAGTGGATATTTAAAAATCATTTAAATTAATTTTACTAAGTTCCAATCATCTTTTGTTAAATTCATATACTATTTTGCCCACTTCAGTTTTTTTGTGCATCATTTTTGGTGTCAGTTTTGGTTTCTTAGATAGACGTTGTGAAATTTAACCAAGTTCGTGGAGGTCACGTTGAACCGTTATCTTTGACATTTTGACTCCAGATTGGCACAGCTTTTTAGTTATTTTATTGTTGGTGACCTGTCTATGCGCTAGAACAATCTTGGATAGTATTCTTTCTCAACGTGGTGTTAAGGTTCTCTTCTTTCCACATTTACCAACCCTCTTTGGCACCAAATTCTCCATATTAGCCATTTTTGTGTGTATATTTTATACAGAAACCCGCAAAATACCACATTTTTTGGCGATTTCTCGTTGAGAAAGATTACACAGTAAAAAAATTACCCGTTACATTTTTAAAAACATAACGCCAGTTTTCGTGTTTTATAACGGGTAATAGACGATATTCGAAATTTTTTAAATTCCGGAATAATAAGAAACTTGAATTTTTCGTGCGTATTTTACACAAAAAAGTAGATATAGAATAAATAAAATAAACAAACAGCATAAGAAGTAACATTGGATTTTGTTTATATTAGTTTAATTATTTGCTTAATATGGCTACATCACTTTCTTGTGTTGTCATTGGTTGTTCCAATCACTCAACCAAATTTAAAAAGTGGAAAAAAGCTATTTGTGAAATTCATAAATGTTCAAAAGAAGATCCTAATTGCTGCTGTTCTGAATAGGTACGCGGAAATCGCGATTTACGGAACCGATTTTTATGCTTAAATTTTGGTTCTCGTTTTTTTCACTCTTTTTTATGCAGCGTGAGGCAGACGTAGTTTTAAGTAGTTTCTTTTTAGAAACATATATAGACATAGATACTTTTTGGAAAGAAGAAAAGTTAATCTTGATTTTTGAAATACTTTTATGTATGGTTACTAAACTTTATTATGGAATATTTTGCTCCTGAATATTAGGTTGATGTTCTCTCATGAATTTGTGGTCAAAGAAATGTAGAGTCTGCTTTTTTTATTATTAAAATAGCTTGTTTCATGCATTTTCTATGCACATGCCAAATTTCATCAAAAAATAAGGATAAGCAATTAGTCTAATTAGTGTTATACCAAGTATACCACTTTTTTCAGGTAGCCCTAGGCAAACGGTTTTTTGAGGTGGTTATTTTTAGAAACATATATTAACCTTGACAACTTTTGAAAGAAGAAAGATTTGGCTTGATTTATATAAACTTTTGTGTATTGCTAACATACCTTTTTATGGAGTATTTTGCTGAGAATTTTGCATGGAAATTTGGCTGATGTTGTAACATAGATTTGTAGTTGAAGAAATGTAGAGTCTGCTTTTTTTATTATTAAAATAGTTTTTTTCATGCATTTTCTATGAACATGCCAAATTTCATCAAAAAATAAGGATAAGCAATTAGTCTAATTAGTGTTGGACTTTAGGTACCTAATTTCGATTTTTTTGTTGTTGTTTTTTTTGGTAAGCAAAATCCGGTAGGCGCCGAAATCCGGATAAGGGGGCGTTTCAACTAAAAATCTTATTTTGAATTATTGTAATATATATTATTAGATTTAAAAAAATATGGCAACATATAGCAAGAGTGTGTTAGATGCCCTAACAGAAAGTAAGTTCAATTTTTTTTTATTCTTAATAATAGTATTAATAACTTTTTAACTCCAAAAAATAATGATTAATGTAAAACCTTCATTGTTTTTTATGTTACATATTAAAAAACATTAATGTTTAAGATTAAAACTGTTGGTATTCATTGAATAATTCATAGTCACAGTTTTAATTTTTTTAAACTCTAAAAATTTTTTTTGTTAGGCTTACACTAATGCAGTATGTAATTTACTCATTTATATGTGGTTTATAATAGCCTATTAAAACTGATTGTCACTTGTTAGATTCAGTTCACAATTTATTAAAACATTACATATAAACAATTTTATTACATACTTCATTACGTTAATCTTAACAAAAAGCTTCTTATTGTTTTTAAAATATAACAAAAGATATCATTATTATTGTCTTTTACCATATTCGGATTAAATACTTCTTTATCTATGGATTAGTGTTTAAATCATTATACAAGCATGTCTAATATTTATTTCTTGTTTAGATCCTGCCCAGCTTTTTGTTGATTTTTTGAAGTTTCATAAGTATAAATCACATAAAGTTTAAATTTAATATTCACTAAGAGATAAAGTATACAATAAGTAAATATTAATAAACATTTATAATATCTTCCTATCTATAGTAAGTCTTAAAAAAACTAGAGTTAATTTTTTTACTTATTGTATATCATCTTTTTATGTGTTTATTGTTTACATAAGTTTATAACCATTCCTAATGTTAACTTGTTGCTTATAAATATATTATCTTTATATTTTAATAGTTATATTTAGTTGTTTATTTTCATTTTTTTAGTATAGTTGTTGCATCTTAAGTAGAAAATCTTTTAACTTTAGTACAGCTTTTAACATTTGTAACTTACTGTTGACAATTTTAAATTATTTTGTGCACAAAGTTTTTGTTATTTTTAGTCGAATCTACACAGCCCATCACTGGTAAGATTTTATCAGTTTGTATATGCTAATGATTATAGAATTAGCTATTACTTTTTATTCTGTAAATAAATTTGAAAGATTACCCATTTCAAAGTCCTTATTTGCAATATTTGTTTCTTATTACAAATTTTGAATTTAAGTTACATCTTTGTCTTCAACAAATGGTAAATTTAACAATTATTACTTTTTAATATGTGTATATATTTTTGATGACTGCAGTATAAATTTTTTATTAAATAATTCTTAACCTTAGTTCCTTCTACATCTGCTATAAGGGGTATGTTAACTAATTTTTACTTTTCAAAATGTTTATACATATCTTGGCAATTTCAGTAATTATTTTTAATTTCAACTTTGATAATATTTAGTTACATCTTCAGCACCTACTATAACTAGTAAGTTTATAAACTATTATTTGCAAATGTTTACTCACCTTTCTTATCAATTGCAAATTTTTATAGAAACTTTTTTTATTTTTAGTTCCATGTGTTCAACCTCCTGCTGGTAAATTTATGATTTAAAAATGTTTTTAAACGATTTTTTAATTTATGTTTATACTTATATACACTATTTAATGCATTAGTATTGTGTTATCCCTCAAAGTGCAGTAAAATAAAATTATTACTCTCATGAACATTTTTTACGGTATCATTGATTAATACGTTGTTCATGTTATTTATTAGGCCTATCACTTTTACAATTAATTGTTTAATATTACATTTTAAAGCAGCACAAAATTGACTACTATTACATTTGTAACTACATTAACATTTGTTGACAATTTCAAATTATTTTGTGTACAATTTTTTTTTTTTTTTTTAGTCGAATCTACACAGCCTATCACAGGTGAGTTTGTATTAGTTTGTATATGCTAATAATTATAGAATCAGCTAGTACTTTTTGATCTGTGAACAGATTTCAAAGATTACCAGTTTCAAAGTCATTATTTGCAATATATATTTTTTATTACAAATTTTGAATTTTAGCTACATTTACGTGTTCAACGAATGGTAAGTTTAACAATTATTACTTCTTAATGTGTGTATATATATTCCTGATGAATGCAATAAAAATTTTTTATTAAATCATTTTTAACCTTAGTTCCTTCTACATCTGCTATTTGTGGTATGTTTACAAGTTTCTACTTTTTAATATGTTTATGCATATCTTGGCAATTACAGTATTTATTTTTAATCACAACTTTGATAATCTTTAGTTACATCTTCTGCGGCTTCTATGACTCGTAAGTTTAAAAACTATTATTTGCAAACATTTACGCATCTTTCTTATCAATTGCAAATTTTTATAGAAACTTTTTTTATCTTTAGTTCCAGGTATTCAACCTTCTGCTGGTAAATTTATGATTTAAAAATGTTTCTTAATGATTATTGAATTTATGTTTATATTTATATACACTATTTAATGCATTAGTATTGTGTTATCCCTCAAAGTGCAGCAGAATGAAATTATTACTCTCATTAATATTGTTTAAGTTATAATTGATTAATACGTTGTTCATATTATTTATTCAGCCTATCACTTTTTCAATTAATTGTTTTATATTAAATTTTACATAATGCCATTCAGTACTAATCTATTAACAAATCATTGTCATTTAGAGCTAACCTATCAAGACTACCTATTATATAGGTCCCAGCATCCTGGACCCACCAGCAATAGTTCATTTAAGCGATAGGTCCAGTTAGGAGGAAGGGACCATAATTCTTTTAAATGGCCCTATCATCCTCCTAACAAGGGTGCTGGGAGCCGCAGCAGAAGGGGAGGTGGTCGAGGTCGTGGAAGTGGAGGAAGCAGAGGGAGAAGATGGAATGGTGGCAGCCGAGTGGTTCATGGAGATTATTACAATTATTAGGCACCACCATTCCTTTTTTTTTTTTAATATATATTTAATTTCAGCAAGTTTATTTTCCGTTCTTTTCCCAATTTATACAATTATCAACATTTGCATTATATTTTTTCAAATTTTTACCCAAAAAAATTTAAAAGCAAAACATTGTAATAGTCCCAATGAAATACTTTTTACACTTTTAAAAGTTGTATTATATAAATTTGTAAAGTTTATACTATAGATAGATGTGGACCTTTCAATAGAATTAGGTTTTTTTTTTAAGACTTTGTAGCCCACGTTAAATATTATTTTAAATTTATGTGTAATATTTCAGATGTTGATAAATGTGAAGTGTATTTTGCAAACTTATTTACTATTCTTGTTTTAGTTTATTAAAAATGTTTGTTTGACTATATTAATAGTTATTTGATTTTATGTTATTGTACCTTATGTTTACAGTTCCTAAAAATTATATTTGCATTATTGAGGTTGAAATATCAGTTTCTTGTAATCGTAACTTGTCTAAAGAAGGTATGTATGAGTTTTTTAAATTATTTGATATTTTTTAGGTTTATATAATTTAGTACATTTTTTTACATTATTTATAATATTATTAATTTTTTAAAAGTTGTTATATATTATTTGTTTATTATGTATTTATTTGTTTGTGTAGGTAAAGTTTAATTTGTTATATATTTTATATATATACTCTTTGTATATACTTTGTAGAGACATTATGGGTCAAAAAATTATTTTTTCGGATTCAGTAAAAAAAGATTTAGCTATGAACTTCACTTTGCAAGGTGAAGTACATACGCAATGTCAAAACGGGCATATCATCCTCTCATTCACTAATAATGGTGAGTCAATTATTCGTACTCTTAAACAAGTCAATGAGTTATTTAGCTTAAAAACTAGTAAATGTCGACTTTATAATGCTATTAACATTGCAAAAAAATGGACTACCCATTATGTAAGGGATTGTGCAAAATTTATTAATTTCTGTAATCAGCCCTTTGCATACCATGCATCAAACGTGTCAATGATGCAAGCAATTCATCTTAATCAAAGTAGTTCATTGATTAATGTTTCAGGATCTTCTTTGCTGTCAACAAATGAACATATTGCTGGCTTACCATTAGTTAATGGAGAGCCTTCTTTGCTTGTCAGTTGCTCAGAAAATGAAACAAGAGAGCGTGCATCAAGAGAAGAGGTAACCCCAAAGAAAGCCAAACTCAGATGTAGGTTATCTTATTTATCTTCTAAGTTAGCTAGCTCAAGTAAAGAACACAGGATTAAACTAGATCAAGTTCGATTTAAATATAATAGCTTACCATATAAGTTAAAAATATTCAAGAAAAATATCCAAAGAAAAGAAGATATTATTAAAGCTTTGAGGGCAGAAGTTAGAGATCTAAAAAAACAAATTAAAACTTATCATTATAGTCGGTTAATTCGTAATCTTCAGGCAAAAATAAAGGAGTTGAAAATAAAACAAAAACAAAACTTTATGCAAATAAAAGTTAAACAGAATGCTGATGGTAAGGCTAACAAAATGTTTATTCCTCAATTGGAAAATGACATGTTGCAGATAAAAGAGGGGAAAATGCCATATGTTAATATGACAGAAGATAATAAGAGTTACCCTTTAAAAATGAGGATGATAATTTATGGCATGTTATTAGCTAATGTTCCAACAGGTAACATTCGATTCTTAATTTCAAAAATTGGGCAATATTTAGGTGTTAACTTTACAGATATTCCTCATCGTTCTACTATTGAGCAAATGGCTCGTGAGCTTGGCTGTATAGCAGAACTGCAAGCAGCAGAATGGGCTATGAGTAATTCTCATCTTACTCTTGGATTTGATGCAACAACACAAGAAGGTGTTCATATCAACACAGTTCATCTGACTTCTATAAATAACTGTCAGGTCATTGCGCTGGACCAATTACCAGGTGGAACAGCTGTTGATTATGAAAACCATATTTGTGTTGCAGTTGATCATTTAGCTTTTATTTATTCAAATTTTCATTCGTTTCCCTTTAATGAATGTCGTAGTAGAATCATATCAAATATATCCAACACAATGTCTGACAGAGTAGCGGTTAACCATTTAACCATTTCCAAAATTTGTAATACCTGGGGGAAGAATTTGAACGAATTAAATTGTCATTTGCATCCTCTAGAAACAATTGCCATTTCATGTCGCGAAACCTTAAAATCTCTAGAAGTTGAACCTTGCAAGTTGTTTGGATATGATTGTGTGGCAGTCAAAATTGTGTTAGCAATGAATAAGATGAGGTTTAAAGATGGCAAAGGTGATCCACAAGGTTTTGTAAATTTTTTAGACAATAACCAACTACCGCGAGGTATTATTCCGCGGTATCGTGGAAACCGTCTGCACATTCTTTTCCACACTTGTTTCATTTTTATTAAACACTATACTGCTTTTCTACTTTATCTGACCACTGGAACAATAAAATGTTTCAGCTTGCTACCAATTCTGCTAGAAGCATTTTGTAATAAAACCGCTATAAAACAAATGGGAGTGCTAGCATTATTTAGTAAACTTCTCATATGGTACAGCAAGTTTTGTAGCTTGCAAAAGAGTACCGCGAGTTTTTTAACTTGCAAATATGGTACAGCAAGGTTTGTAGCTTGCAAAATATTTTTGATAGACGGGTCTGGCTTACCTTCACGTGGTGTCTATTGTTAAAAATGATTTATTTAGTTTCCTTCTTGGAATTTTAAACAATATCATTTACTAAAAGCCAAGACTTAAATTTATTATATTTTGTATTTTGAAACTTTTTAAAATATAAGTTTTAAAATTAGTTTTATCTTTGGCCTATTTTTAGAGTGGATACTCCAACTTGCATTTTGTAATGTGGTAAGATTAGAAAAGTTATGTCTCTTTAAATGAACATAATTTAAAAACATTTACAAAATTTTTATTGACATTTTTTGCAAGTTTGAATGAGAAGGGGAGGGGGGCGTTGGGTGTAGCACACATTCCTAACTGTACTAACATATTATAATAATCTTGAATACTTGTTTCTCTTTTCCAATAAACTTAATTTTCAAATATCTTTTAAATTTTTTTTTTAGGTTGGATACAACTGGGCAGGAAGGGGGGTGTTTGGCGTGGCACATGTCCCGTCCCTTATGTCAACTTATACACCACTTGTATATGCTGTAAAGTAAGAAAATTTAATTTAAAATTTTTCATACAAAATATAATCATTGTTTTTTAGGTTCAAATATTTATAACAATGTAGCATTTCACTACGAGGGTGTTAAAACGTAACAAAGACATCAACACTTCAATCTAAAATAGACCACTAATATTTGGAAATGGATTGGAAGCAAATTGGAACAATTTTTTGTGTATAAAGATGACATATTTTATCAGAAAAACACTCTTTCGTGTGAAAAACTTGTCTTTTTTTAAGGGTACGAGGGTGTTCCGGTACCCCCTCCGGTCCTCTAGACGCCACTTTCATCTATAGAGTTATATGAACTTGTAGCCTACTCTTACATCTATCTTTTGATGCCAAGGTATAGACATTTGGATAAGATTTGACAAAGTTATAACAATTTTAGTGGGAAAAAAAATAATTTTGGAACCAGTTTCTTCAATAAATCCATATATCGAAAATTTGCTACTAAAAACGCTATAACTTTTTATAGAATTGTCCGATTTTCTTAATTTTTTCACCATTAAAATACTGTATTAAAGGGCTTTCTAATGATATATAATATTCTAGTATTTAATTAATTTAAAAAAATCAGTCCACGTACCTATTCTGAACCATTTAAACTTATTCCTTTTCCTAATGAAGAAAAAGACCCAGAGCGTCAATCCATTTGAAAAAAAAATTGATAAATCGAGTAAATTCAGACAAATCTCAATGGGAAGCTTCTAATTACAGTAGAATTTGTTCGGAACATTTTATTCATGAAAATTTTGAATATCCTTCAGAACTATTGGAATACAACGCATTAAATAAAATAATAATTTGTTCCTTCTGTTTCATCTAATTGTGATCGACCAATAAACACTTTGGAAGTGTATTTACGGACAATAACAACTATTCACCAAATATTACTAGTTTTGTTAACGACTCGATAAACATTGAAGACATAAATTTTTCTGTTGAGACGGTTTATTCAAATTTAATCAATCTCAAACCGAGTACATTTTATGATCCTGACGGAATACCGAACATTCTTCTGAAAAAGCTAGCTCTTGTTTTATGTATCCCACTTTCGTTTATATTTGATGCCAGCTTTAAGTCAAATAGTCTACCACAACAGTGGCTTCAAGCTTTTGTTTCTCCAATTTTTAAAAAAGAAGCAACATCAGACCCTAATAATAATAGACCAATTTTACTCACATGCACTTGTTGTCGTGCAATGGAAAGAATTATTAACTCGGATATTATTAAATACTTAACTCTCCATAACTTAATAGGCAATAATCAACATGGTTTCCTCAAGAAACGCTCTACATGCACTAATCTTTTAGAATCTGTTAATGATTGGAGTACTGCACTAGTCAATAATCTAACAACAGATGTTGTATATATCAACTTTCAAAAGGCATTTGATTCTGTATCACACCCTAAATTGTTAGCCAAACTAGCTTTATTTAACATAAGAGGTAATTTAAAAAATTGGATTGCTGCATTTCTTAACAATAGGAGTGAACAAGTTAAGGTAGGAACTTCATTATCAAACCCAACTTGCATCGTTAGTGGAGTTCCTCACGGCAGCGTGTTAGGCCCAACATTATTTTTACTATATATCAATGATATAACCGCTATAGTCAACTATTTTGATTGCTCTTTAAGACTTTATGCCGATGACATCAAGTTATACAGTTCATTTTGCAATACGGACCATAGCCATTATTTAGCTATTGCTCTTAATAATGTAGTACTTAGGTCAGAAACATAGCAACTACCTATTTCTACCAGTAAGTGTTTTTTTCATAGGATTGCACCTGCTTCATTGAGAAAATTTGTTAACTTTAACTATAAGTTAGGAGATCATATTTTAGCTTGGTCTTCTATTCCGAAAGATCTCGGTGTAACTCTGGACTCTCAACTAAACTATAAAAAGCATATCTCAAACATTGTACATGCAGCTAATACCAGAGCATATCTTATTTTAAAATGCTTCAAGTCTCGCGATTCTAGAATCTTAGTAAAAGCCTTCATACATATATTAGGCCTATATTAGAATATTACTCCCCAGTTTGGTCACCATATCATGTTGAACTAATAAAGGTTGTTGAGAACGTGCTAAAACATTTCACAAAAAAAATCCTGCACTTAGGCAATTTAACCTACGATAACCGACTTCAGTTGCTTGATTTGGAGTCGCTTGAGTTAAGGCGAGTAAAGCATGATTTATCGATTTGCTACAAAATTCTGCATAACTTGGTCTTAATTGATAAATCTATGTTCTTTCTTTTTGACAACAAAAACAACATTCGGGGACATAAGTATAAATTGCACAAACAACATTGTCGACTAGATATTTGCAAAATTAGTTTCTCTTACCAAGTTGTCAACATTTGGAATCAGTTGCCTTTCTATATTTAAGAGGAAAATTAACTCAATCAATTTTGAAAAGTATTGTCGGCGTTGATAAATTATTTATTCAATGTTGTACGCTGTTACATAATTTATTTATTTATTTTTGGGTGGGCACGCTGTTAGTGTCCATCAATATTGGACCTGCGTGTTCTTTAGAACATGTATTATCTGTTCTAATAAATACAAATACAAATAAATAAACGAAATAACAACATAATTTCTGATTCATTTTCAATAAAAACAGCCACTATATCCGTCTCTACTTCAAAACAAAATTACTAACTTCAAAACAAAATTATAATGCAACCAACCAAAGAGTATAATTTGCACGATGAATGCACTGCTCAACATTTATTTTTTACTGTACTACCTGGTCAGCAAGAAACATCACAAATGACACCTTTTGAAGTAAAGAAAACAAGTTCAATTGATAAAATTAGAATTCTTGTGGAACAAGTTATTGGAAGATTTAAAACATTTTGTCTTATAAGTAATGAATTATATATATATATATATATATATATATATATATATATATATATATATATATATATATATATATATATATATATATATATATATATATATATATATAAATATATATATATTGTGTGTGTAAATATGTGTTTTGTTTGTTTGTAAAATAAAGTAGAAATCAATACTTTTGTTTCACGAATATTATTATATACTACATACTTTGATTTAATCTAAGTCAATCATTAGTTCATCTAAATCTTCAATACTGTGTAAAGTTGTTGAAGTTTCTAATCCATCATCCAGCTATAAGATGATATTTTTATTTGTTTACAAACCTATTTTTAGAGAAAAATCTGTATATTTTTAAATATTTTATTCTTGTTTTAAGAGCAAATTTTTAAAAATTGCAAAGTTGTTATTAGATATCTTAATAACTAATTTGTTTATCTTATCACTTATTTCCATTTCGCATTGTTTATATCTACTTTTTTTATGTAAAATCGCACGGAAAAACATTTTTCGCCTTTTAAAATTAATTTCGAATATCGTTCGAATTTCTCGCCTTTTAAAATTAATTTCGAATATGTTCAATGTATGAAAATAACATAACGGTAAGCGACTTTACAAACCCACTATAAGCACAGAATAGCCATTAAAATTGGCCAATCTGATTCGCTTATTTTGAAAGAGAGGCAAATCCGCAAAATTGGAATATAAGAAAAATATTCGGCGTTAAACATAAAAATAAAGAAAAATAGTTCGATTTTGTTTACTTTTTGCTCATTAGTTTGTGTTTATTTATTTAAAATTGTTAATAAATTTTGTATTTATTTATTAAAAATTGGACTCCGTTGCTTACTATTTTATTTAATGTGCAATATAATTGTCTTGTATAGTTTCATTATTATTTGTATGATTAAATCAGTATCGTATTGAATCATTAAACGAGTTTATCTTAAATTACAGTGAAAGTATAATGAAATACCATGTCAAATTTTTCCAAAAAGGTTAGCGCAAAAATACTCAAGTATATTCGAATAAAATATAAATTATATAACAATACTTTTAAGACTGCTAAAAAAATACGTTAATGACTTTGAGCATTAGCAACATTTTGTTCAACAGCTAGACTGATATTTCTTTGTCGCTTAACTTTTTTCCGTTTCAAAACTTCAACTTTAGTTGGTCTTCCCATCGGCACTGGTCTACTACCACGTGTCAGACCTTCTCTTCGTCTCGCAGCAGCAGTCGGTTGCGTTTTAATTTGTCCGAATCTTCTTTTTGAGCATAATGCTGTTTTTAATGAAAACAGAGTTGCTAAAGCGCTTTCGGTGGTATTGACACTTTTCAGTCTAAGCTTTAAACTGTTAATAATTTTTTTAGAATTGGGATCGATTTTAGCTAAATCTAATAACTTTTTAAATTCAAATATAAATTCTTCACAATCTGTATTTAAAGATTCCGATTGGTTTTTTTTTTCAGTACACGTCAATGACAAAATATCTTCGTTATTTGCATCGCCAGAGATCAAACAGTTTTCTTGAGTTTCAACTGCGAAAATAACAATTTACTGTTAATTTAATAAATGTAAACCATGTTATAAAATTATTATATTATAAAATCATGTATGTATTCAATATAAATTACAAAAAATTAAAACTAATTGCAGATATCAAGGTAGTTGAACCAAAAAAGACCCGTATCGAATAATAATAATTTTACATACATACATACATACATACATACATACATACTTATGTGCGTGCGTGCGTGCGTGCGTGTGTGTGTGTGTGTGTGTGTGTGTGTGTGTGTGTGTGTGTGTGTGTGTGTGTGTGTGTGTATGTGTGTTCTAATAAACAAATATATTTTCAGATGAAACAAATTGGGCTTATATCGATGCAACTACTTTATTTGCCTTTACAATTCAATTACAAACCTAAAATATTAGAAGATATTTCAATTTCGCTTTGATCTATATCTCTCAAACTTAAAAAAAATTCTGGTTCAGGGCACTTCGATCCAAGTGCAAGCTTCCCAAGTTCGTATCTGTCTTTCGATGTAGTAGGTGGAGCGCACGGAAAATTAATTTTAAAAAATTTATGTATTGCAGCCATGTGTTTACAGAATTCACCTTGCCTACCACTAGGACATGAACAGTAGCCAACGTCACTATTGACTGTATATTCGACATTTGACTTTTTAAAACTAGGTACAATGTAAGTGTTCCTCTCCAACAATTTAATAGAACTAATGTTTATTTTTTCAGATTTTTGACATAATTTGTTGTAGAATATTTCATAGGCAGAGCAACGATTATATGCAGTATTCAGAAGACGGTTGCTATAATATCTGTCCCAAACATTGACAGTATAGTCTACAAGTGCTGCAACATTGAATGCTTTTGTTCTACATCAAACAATATCTTTAAAGATTCTTATTGTTGCTTCACTAAAATTATTTGTATTGTGGTTTCGAATAATTAAGTCTTTTCTATATAACATGACAAATTCAAACTTTCTCTTGTTATAGTATTTTTTAACCCTAATATAAAACTTTGGGTGCGTTAATTTTATGCTTTTTAATTGGTGCAACGATAAGTCAAGTTTTTCGCTTGTATCAGCATACATAATCTAGAAAACAAACTTGTAGATAATTGCACTTGAAATTCCATATAAATAACTTTCATTTCAAAAAATAGTAAACGAATTAAGAATTACTATATAATTAAGTGGTTATAAATTTATTTTTATATGTAACTTAAATACATTTTTAAACAAATGGTAAAGTTTTTGACGATCAGTTTTTGCAGCTTTTTTAAGCAACCAACGCCATTGTGCTTGTAATACATGAAAATAACATAATAACATTGTTGCTTTTGACCATACAGAACTTAGTGCATTTTTTTCTTCACTTGAGTCATCCAGCATAAAAACTTGGGGCTCCTACAAAAAAATAGTTAAAATACAATGTAAAACATTTAACTAATAGAAATTCCGATTTAAATTAGGTATTGTGGCACTTGTAAACATTTAAGTTTAAAAACTTATCTAGATCTTTATATGTTTAAAGTTCAGCCCTTATGTAGATCAGTGTTTTGATAAAGTTCAGAAAACCTTTAGCCAAAATATATTTTCAAGAGTTATTGAAATGCTGCTTAGTTAATTAGGAATTGCTGTTTAGTTAATTAGGAAAGAGCTTGCATTTGATTTTGAAGTGATCATCCATGTTATATTTTAAAAACTCGGAAAACAGTGCATAAAACATCCGGTATATATTTTCCTAATTTTCCTTTTAACTTAGCTTTTAATGTGTGACAACTTTAAATCCAGACAAATTTAACAAAAGAATGTCTTGTCTAACGGAGTTATCAATCTTATTAATTTAGAAAGCATAATAACAGGTGAGGTTATCAAATTATAAAACATTGTTAGACATATCAAAGTTTGTCAGGATTTTTTGTTGTCTCATCTTAGCTGGTGGGTTTCTTCATTTTTCTGAAATTTTTCTTAATTTTTGTATGGATTTTCTTAATTTTTGTATGAGTGATGACTGCAAAAGTTAATAAACAAATATATTACAAAAATTTATACTTTAAATTAAAACATTTTGGAAATCCAAAAAAACTAAATTTTGAGAAAAATATCCGGAATTTTAGAAATAACCCGAAAAAGGTAATTCCTGACTTTGTAATACAAAGATATCAAATTGTATATATAAAAGAAGGTATGTTAACCATTTCATGTATAGAGATAAAAGAAAAAAAGATAAAGTTAGGCTATTATATTATATTATTATATTATACATATGCATACATAGAATATACTTATAAAACTTTAAATTACCTCAGATCCTCCAAAACATCTTGGGCATTCTAATTTAAGAAGTTTGAATGCTTGCTCATAATTCTCTTCAGTTTTATTAGCATGAAATAGAATAGCAATAGGGATACATCCTGCGGAACTTGATGTAGACACAATTGTAACATTTGTTTGTGAGATATCACAAGATGAGGTAGTATCTACAAACACAATTTCGGAAGAAGATTTTCTTAGTTGATTCCTTTGCATCACTTCAGTGACCACTAGTACAGACCATTTCAGATCTTCTTCAATAACTGTCACCAACGCTCCTAAATTAAAAAACACTGAAAACTGCCAAAAAATCTGGCAAGATATAAACCACCAATTGATAAAACGATATGGGCCAGTTCATTATACTTTAGCCAGTGGCCTGTGGGACACCAAAAAATAAAAAAAATTATAAAAAATAGCGAAGAAGTGAAGTTAGCTGAAGAACTTTTCTATTAACCAACAAGGTCTTACAGGTTACTTTACTGATTAGCTATTACTATCAGCAATACATGGGAAAATTACAGAAAGCTTGTTACATAAAAGAACTCAAATGTGTCTATAAACATATTATTCATTTTCCAAAATGCCCAACTAAAATGGCAGCATTTTTTAATAACCCTATTTTCTTACCTATATGAGTTAAATGTATTATTTAACTCATATAGGTAAGAAAAATTTAAAATGTAAAATTTATTGGAAAACAATGCCCCTCTAACCTGCCTGTTAACATTAAAGGGGTGAACTTGATTTTGTCATTTAATAATAATAAAAAAGATATGGTTGGTTGCCCCCTCCCTGATCTAGTCTTTATGGCTTTTTGCAAATGTATCTATTTAGGTGCTTCTAGCACAAAATAACTGTTTTTTAATACTTTTCTGTTAAAAGAACTTTGTTATTGCTTTTTTTTCAGTTTTATTCATTATATTACCTTTTATTTGTTGGATCTACTCTATACACAAAATTATATAGTAGAAATAGCTTAAATAAATGTCCCACAAAACTTTCTTTAAATTGGTTGAAATATAACGAGCTTACACATATCTGACTTTGTTATATATTTTTTTGTAATATATAAAAATACATGTCAACTCAAAGTAGAATTTGGCAGCAAACCTTCTCAATATAAACTAGGTTTTTTATTTATCATTTATCAATCTTATTTTCAAAATAAATCATTTAAATAAATTATTTTAAAATAAACTGATTATTGTTGTTAATCTCATTTTTACCTGATTCTAAGTATACATTTCTTTTATTCTTTAACATCTCTAAAGGATTTTTAAGAGCAAAATGTTTTTCTTGCCATAAATTGTATAAATAATAAATTGTACGTGATGAAGGATTAAGTGAGGCATCTGCCAAAAGAAAGGAGCCATTTTCATGATAAATAAAGTTATCTGTGTGTATACGTTTTGCTTGAGCTGGACTTAATCCACTGTTAAAATAGTTATAAAAAAGTTTTTTTGTAACTGATGACACTGGTAAGTATTTCATCGAATCTGCACATTCAATGTTATGGTTATGGTTTTTATGAACTACTATAACTCCACTAAGGGGAGGTTCTTCTTTTAGATATTGATCATTTTTATTAGTATTTGCATTTACTTTTTTGATTTTGATATCAATTTCAGCTACACAGTATGTGTTTTTCCTTGATTTAATTTCTTTATTTAGTTTTGAATGTTGACATTGATATTTTCTATGTGCCACAAGCCTAAATAAAATACATTTGCAAGATATATATACACTTACTGTTAGTTAATGCTTATATTATTATTTATTAGCCCTCAAGACCTATAAGACCTGACTCACTATTGATTGTGATATGAAAAAAATATATAATAGCTTAGTAAAGAAGCTAAGGGGGTTCCTAACAGACAAAGAAAAGAAAATACAAAAACTAGCAATAAAATAATAATACAAATAACAACAATACATACCCATTTCGTAATGTTACCAAAAAAAAAATTTATTCTAACCCTAACTGTGTTGCTAACCCTAAATTTTTCTTAAACTGTTAGCTATTGATCGATAAATTAAATTTCAAATCATAAAAATTTACTAAATTAAGATAATATCTTAACATTAAACAAACTAAACTCGTGATATAGGCTAGAACACCAAGGCAAATCTAAAGAAATGAAACAACAATGATAAAAAGTAGACATGCTTATAAGATAATACCACCATTTTGGGATGATGATGGTAAAACTTAAGGAATGAAATGATAAAAATGGAGAAAAATATAAAAATTTAAATTTTCAAACAAAATAAAAACTAATACAAAACACATAATCCTTATATAACTAAAAATATTTAAAAATTTTTATTTAAATAGCTTCAATTTATTTTAATCAAACCTTGTTTGTATTAAAGAAAGCCAAATAACCCCAAATCACTTTATTCAAATAAACCCCAAATCACTTTATTTAAAACCACAAATATTTAAAAGTTTATTTTCTGAGGTAACAAGGAAACATTGCTTTAACAAACTTATTATATGCCAATGTTATATTTCAAGACATTGTGTTAAATAGTCATGACAAATTTAAAACATCAGCAAATGACTTATAATGGTCGGTACTTATAATTGTATAACAAAATAGAAAAAATGATACCAGAAAACAAAATATCTCTTACTTCAATCAAGTAGAAATCCAATTATTTCCTGTTGACTAATGATTAATAAAGTAAATTTTAAATCATAAAAATTTACATAATTAAACCATGTTCCAACAGTAGAAAAACCAAAATTACAGAACTAAAAAAATGAAATAAAAAAATAACAATAATGGGTATAATACATCATTGTTTGTGTGAAATTTTTAAAATGATGTTCCTTGAAATGAATGTTATTTAAATTTAAAAAACAATATATTAAACTACCTTGAACACAGGACATAAAATTTGCCATGTAAGAAGCACATTTTTTTTTGAGATAAACATTATCAACTGTTTGATCTTGAATTTAATTTATGGTCATTAAGTGTGCTAAACTGACAACATTTTAGCGTAAAGTTTACTCAACTGTAACCAAGGAATAAATACCCTTATACAACTTGTAGTATGTGCGTGTTTAAATTATATATATATATATATATATATATATATATATATATATATATATATATATATATATATATATATATATATATATATATATATATATATATATATATATATATATATATATATATATATATATATTAAATATATATAAATTATGTTAGTGTATTCTACAAGAGAGCTCAACGTTGTTAAAGAACAGAGTAAAAATAAATAAGTAAAAACACTTATCTAATTTTTTTTTCCTTATATATATATATAAATATATATATTTAATATATATATCTATGATATTTATATTAAATATATGTATCATATTTCGTGGTAAAAGATAAAATTGGTTAAAATTCCAACCTTGTAGGTTCATTCAGCTTGTATGACTTTAGCTATCTAGTGTGCGTTTTATGTCCATATTTTTCTACCCATTGGTTCGCTTCATCTTCTGATTTAATTGATGCTCGCAATTGAATAACATTTTTATCTTCAAAAATTAACTTTGAATTAAATAAAATAGGGAATGTTGAGTTCATTTTTTTTAGAATCACTACCGCTGTTGTTATTAAGCAAGGTTTATTTTTTTTTATTGCGCGAAAGTTTAAATTCCAATTTTGCAGATTTGCCTCTCTTTCAAAATAAGCGAATCAGATTGGCCAGTTTTGATGGCTATTCTGTGCTTATAGTGGGTTTGTAAAGTCGCTAACGGTAACTGCCTTTATGTTATTTCATAGTAATAAAAAGTATTTTTTGTTATATTCTATTATATTACACTTTTTATTATATTATATTTTATTATATTTTTTATTATGAATTTATTTTATTATATTATATTCATTCTTATAACTATGGTTATTTTCATACGAATTATACATTGAACATAATGGTAATTACCCGTTATAAAACACGAAAACTGACGTTATGTTAACCGTTATGTTTAAGGAAAGTTCAGTACTCTTAAAATTTACTTTTTTTCTACTATAACTGTCTCTATCTTACTTTATATATATATATATATATATATATATATATATATATATATATATATATATATATATATATATATATATATATATATATATATATATATATATATATATATATATATATATATATATATATATATATATATATATATATATATATATATATATATATATATATATATATATATATATATATATATATATATATATATATATATATATATATATATATATATATATATTCTCTTCAGCATTTTTATAAAGTAAAATGATCAGTTTTTCATATAAACAAAGTAAACATTTTTTTGTTGTATTGTTGTAGGCGGGGGCATTTTTTAAGATAGACCAAGTTGATTCTGGTGTTTCTTTCAGTTTTTCCCTAGTTTCCCATATATGTTTTGAGAGAGTGGTTGCATTTGAAAGTTTCTTATTTGAAAATGATTGCTTGTGGCTTGCAAGGCCGGCGCGATGGGGGTGTAACACCCCCATCAATGATTTTTAGTCGGCAAATTTGACCCTTTTTGACTAGTTAGTCGGCAAATATAGACCCTATCGACATGTTAGTCGGCAAATTTAGACAGTCATTTGGCAAAAGTCGTTATGGCAGTCGACAAATTTAAAAAAACGAAGACCTTTTTTTTTTTTTAGTCGGCAAAAGTATAATGGCACCCCCCACGTGACGCCTACTCGCGCCGGCCCTGGTGGTTTGCATACCTCTTTTTCCACACTCCTTCTGATGTGGTGGTTTGCATACCTCTTTTTCCACACTCCTTCTGATTTCCACACTCCTTCTGTATGCTTTGCTGGGTGTGTTTGGGGAAGATGTTATACATTTGTAAATGATATTTGTCGTTCTACAATTTTTATTCAGCGGGCAGATTTTTTTTTGTTTGCAATTGCAAGGAAGATTTTCAGTGGTGTTAATTAAATTCATTTTTTTGTTGTGGTTTTTTATAATTTTTGAAATGTTGTTTGCGCAGCTGTAGCTAATTTTTGTAGTGTTTCGATTGAATAGTTTATGCAATGGGTTTGAGGGTGGGAAATGTTTATCTATTAATTGCAAAAAGATTTGGCTAACATTGGTGGAGACGCTTTTATTGTAGGGTTGGTTAAACCACATTATTCCTTTTTTCTTTTTGGAGGTGTCTACTTTTTTGGGTTGTATTTGGGTTATTTTGGGTTATATACAAACTTATCTTTCTTTTTTCATCAGTCAGATTTTTTCTAGAACTGTAGTTGTCAATGGCCTTTTTTATTGTCATTAACAAGTGCATTTTCTGGATCTTAAAATAAAATATATTTTATTGTTTTGAGAGATATAAGTTTATGATTTTCAGATTCAGCAGGTTTTAAACTCCTTTGGTACCAAGTTTTAGCTTCGCAACATTACTACAAGTTTGTTAAAAGGGTAATGGTAAATTGACATATTTCCGGTTCAGTCAAAAAATAACTAACTTCAAGTTGCTGTAAATCTTAAAGGGTTGAGAATTTTTTAAAAAAATTTTACAGTTTTTCTTAACTTATATCTTTAAACATTTGTGCCAAATTTCAGCGAATTTGGTGTTGCAGGGTGCAACCCTCTTGTTTTTTGAGAAATTTTTACCCTAATGTCAAATGACAGGTCAAATGCTTTGCAAATACTTTTATTAGTATTAGTTTGTATTTATTATAAATTATTCTATATATAGTATCATGTAGTTTAGGATCATGCGTATATATTTCAAGCAAACTTTACATTACTTCGAAAAGAGTTCAACAGTGCATTGCACTTTTTGATATGAAAATAAATTGTTCGAATCCACATATCTCTTGAAAAAAACCAAGCAACTGCCCAAAACAAGATGGGTATGATAAGTCCAATAAATAATATACAATAACTAAAATCACCACCATCTCACTGGTGCTGACTAATGTTTAAGTGTCCATCTCATAAGAACTTGGAAATATTATGTATTCTCTAATAGAGTCACACTAAAAATATATATAATAGTATAATAGTAATATTGCAGAAAAATATTGTGAAAATTTTTACAGTACACATTTTAGTTTTTCACACACATTCTTGTTTAAAATCATTTTCAACAAAGAAATAAACCAATACAAAAAAAAAAGAGACAGAAAAGAAAAGTATGTCATTTCATGGTAACATAGACATTAATGTTGTTGTTTAATTCAAAATAAATTCAAAAATTAAGGTGATAAACTTACATCCACTTTCATAAACAGTTTATCACATGTCTTCTTTAAAATAAGTTTCTGCTGGAGCTTTAACAAATTGTCAGTGTGGTTACCAGACTCTGGAGTAATCCAAACAACATTGCTTGTATGTTGATTGTAGCATCCTTGAAACAAGCATAAAAACGAATTGCTTCCTCTAGCAATAGTTCAGTTTTAAACAATAATGTTTACATCATTTATTTACAAAGAAATAACAGTTATTTATATAAGAAATTTTATAATTATATAAGTAAATATAAAATAAATTTTATAATTATATAATTATATAAGAAATATGAGAAAAAACAAACAGTTATTAATATAAGAAATTTACATAAGAAAAAGAGTTATTTATATAAGAAATAGTAGTTATAATAGTAGTTATTTATTTACTTGTCGGACCTGTACACGGCGCACCCTAAACTCGGTGAAGTTCGTTAATTCTCGGAACGAATATTCTCGGTGTTCGCTTTTGGTATTTTACAGAATAGGCGCTAAAATATTACGTTAAATCGCGCCATAATGGTAACGTCGAAAATAAAAAACAAAAACTTTGCGTAAATGCATTTTAATAAAAATTTAACATTTTAGGAAAAAAAAAAAAATTACAAATTATCAACATATATACATTAAATATTAAATTAAATAGATCTTCTAGAGGTATCTTCTCTTTTTAAGATTTCTTTTTGTAGCTTATCTTTTATTAATCGATCTCCTAAAGGTATCTTCTCTTCTTTACATATCTTTTTGTGGCTAATCTTCTTTTAATCGATCTTCTACAGTTATCTTCTTCTGTAGCTTCTACAGTTATCTTTTTCTGTAGCTTATCTTCTTTGCATATCTTTTTGTGGTTTATCTTCTTTTAGTTTTTGCAACGTATATTTTGTGTTGTACATAAAAAAAACAAGTTCAATATAAATATTATGAAACATTTTTAATATAAATATTATATTATAATACTTATTTTACATTACAGAGGATACCTATCATTAATATGTTTTAAGAATAAAGAGACATTTTTCCAAACATTTTTATCATAAAAATCATAATATTCTCTGTAGCTTCATCTAGCCTAGACCACTTTAAATCACCCTGTGATCCAAAAACATACTTTAACCTTCGTTTCATCCGACACCAAAACGACTCAACATGATTTGTTGTTGCTTCACTGAATTAAGGTTTTTTTGTTTACGCCTATTACCTCAGACGCAGCGGTTACAAGAACCTCCAGGATCCATAAAAACATTAATTGAAGTATCAGACTTACACTTAAAGATGTAGAGCTTTCAAAAAATTCTTCTCGAATTAATTTCATAATTTTACACAAGCATCCTTAGACCACATAGACAAAGTTTTTGAAGTGGCATTAGCCTTTTTTGTTGCAAAAAACCAGCCAATTTCTTCTTTGATACTTTCAATGAACTCAGCTAAAAGTGTCATCTTACTTATTTTAAAGGCGGTAAAAAATTGGCTTTTGAAGCGCGAATTAAAACTTTTGTGCTAAATTTTCATTCGTTAATATTAGCCAATTATTAAACGGCAAAAATATTGTTTCGAACTTTACCGAGTTCGTTTACGAATTTCACCGAGTTTAGGGTGCGCCGAGTACAGGTCCGCCATTTACTTCATAAGCTCGACTTTCTGCGGCTGAAAATCAAGCCTCTCTCACGGCTGTTTCAAGCGAGCTTTACGGCTTCTTGTTATTTTTTGAAAATATTTACGTAAGGGGTGTTACTAAAACTTTTATAACTTTTGAAACATTAGAGATAGTTTTGTTCTGTAAAAAGAATAAAAACACCAATAAATTGTATTATTTGATGACGTTTCACAGATATATTAAAAAACTTCTTTAATTTTAGAATAAACGCGGCAAATGTTGAACTTGGCTAAATGTTAGTAATTTGATGTTACTTTTTATCAAAAAAAAACTCAGAAAGAATATATTTTCGATATTTATTATTAAATGTACACATTGTTGGGCTATTATAAAAACAAAAAAATCTTACTTAAATGTTAAAAAATTTAAAGCTAAAGCTTAATGCCTTAAAATTTAAAGCTTAAGCTTTTAAGCATCCAATGTATAGTATTAGTTAAGAAATATATATTCCCTTTCTGCTCTGCTCTAAACGATTATAAATTGCTTCTGCGACTGAAAATAAACGCATGCGCATATTATACGCTTATGTTTTGGCGACTTGATGAGTTTATAAAGACAAAAAATAGTAATATGCAACAATGTTTGTTCATAGTCATAAGAATAAATACTTTTTATGACTATGGTTTGTTGATTATGAAAAGATTGGACGAATTTAAGAATGAGTTTAGTATAGTTTAGCTTACAATTCAGTTTTTATGCGAGCAACAACAATAATTTATTAACAATATGTAACTTATCTAAACTTTAGTACTTAATTAATTGCCAGAACTTTTTTGTCCAAACACTTTTACAAAGCTGTGTTAAGTATTTATTTATTTTTATGTCAAAAAAATATAATTTTAAAACATTGATAATTTTTTATTTCAACTTATATTGATAATAGCACTTCAGAAAAAATTTATTTAAAACATTTCAGAAATAATTTCATTACAGAGATTATTTCAATTAGTTTCGAAATAATCTCTAACTTTTTCTAACAGTGGAAAAATGTTTCCACTGCCTGTGGAAACATTTTTCAGATAAAAAATTTATTTTCGAAGTAAGGGTTTTTTTTTTTATAAATTTTAAAAACTTAACAACACAAACTATTTTTCTTTTTATTTGGGCAATTTAAAGAAATTTTATCGTTACCATTATGCACTAATACCTTGCACAGTTTTGGTTGTGGAATCTTTTTTTTTTTTTGAAAAAAATTTAATGCTTATTCCGATGTCATGTGACAATAAAACTAGTTTTTTATTAGTTAAGTTGCCTTGTATTTTGCTATATGAATCAGATTGCTACATCAAAATAAATTTAATTTGTAATTTGTAAATAATACTCATTCTAGGATTGTTACTGTTGATATGAGTTCAAAGAAAAAAATTCATGTTTCCTTTGTTATAACTGGACTTGCAAAACAGTATTTAATTGACAATATTACATTAGCCACAGATAAACATAAAGATAAATGTTTTAATGGACATGTTTTGCTAATGTATATATATAATGTATATGTATATTGATGATATATGATGCCATTGTTAACCAGGTACCAGCAAAAAGCATTCCAATTTTATTGCAAAAATGTTTTAATCATTTTGGTTTACTAAATGCAGAACGTTTTCCACAGCGCAGCACAGTTGAAGAGATTGTTCGTGAGTTAGGTATAATCAGCAACCTTCATGCTGCTGAAGTTGCCATTTCTACACCCAATCTTACTCTTGGGTTTGACGCAACAACCCAAGAAGGAGTCCATATAAAGTCTGTTCATTTTATGACCAAAACAGAGTGTCATGTTATAGCAATAGGTCAGTTGTCAGGTGGGACTGCACATGATTATCAAACTCATATTGTATCTTTGATTGATGAACTTGCATTTTTGTATTCTGATTTTCATAATTGTGACTACCAAGAGAGTCAAACAAAAATAATTAAAAATATTTCAAACTCTATGACTGACCGTGTTGCCGCTAATTATGCAGCAATTCCGCTAATAAATTTTTTATGGGGTAAAGTTTTAAATGAATTAAATTGTCATGTACATCCTCTAGAGACAATTTCCACTGTAAGTAGATCTGCATTAAAATCAATTGAAAAAATAAAGGAGTGCTGTTTGACAAAGGTTGCATGGCTGGAAATATAGTTTTACAAATGAATAAAACGCAATACAAAAATGGTAAAGGAGATCCTAAAGGTTTTTCAATCTTTTTAGATGAGTTAAAATTACCCTAAGGACTCATTCCACGTTACCGAGGAAACAGATTGCTGGAATTATATTACTGTATTAATATACCATATATGTGGTATATTAATACAGTAATATAATTCCTTAATCAAATTTTTAAGCAGCAATATAGTTTCATGTGGAGGGCTTAAAAGTAGTTTGAAAATAGAGTTTATTAACAAAACAGCTAAAAAGGAAATGTGTGTCTTGGGGTTATTGGGAAAGACTTTATTAGGACCGTGGATGACATTATTTTATCAGTCAGGTACAGGAAGTTTAAGTCATATTGAAGGAATAAAAATAGTGAAAAATGTGTTAAAAATGTTTATTGTGTGAAAAACAACCCTTTGTTATTATTTAGTGCAAAAGATTTGTTTGGAAAAATGATAAGGTTTTTAAAATAATAGTTTTGGTGTGCACGAAAGACAAAGAAGTTAAACAAATGATTGTATTTTGTTTATCAGCTATTATTGATGTTTTAGAAAGACAGTATAAAAGATACTTTAATTACGTTAAATAAAACATTGATGAAATAAAGCTTGAACTGATTCATAAAAATAAGTTAAAGAAGCAAAAAAAAGAGGATAAAAACAGAAAAACATTGTCTTTTCAAATTCAAAACCTTAGTTTTCAGATATTTTAATAGCATTACCAGAACTAGAGTCTAATTAATTATCAGACCTCTCAGATATGCTATCAGATACAGTTGTTGGTAGAACAACTATGTATCTGATAGCATATCTGAGAGAGCATTATGCTCTCAGATAGCATATCTGAGAGCATAATGCCATATATGGTTTAATTCTCTAATGCAGGGAGAAGTTTATTATGGTAAACTTGAAAAAATAAAATTAAAAAATGGTAAACAAGTGTATGTTGTAGTATACTGGAAAGATAATGAAACATACGATAATGATGCTGTGGATTATGGCATTTCAAAATTCGAATTTGCTACCAATATAATATGCGGATACCTTATGTTATCTTGAAAGTGAACTGAAGATTTTTTTTTTAATTGCTATTTTCATCCTGACATATTTTATATTTATATCTGGACATATTATATGCTGTTTGCATATATTTAATTAGTTTGGTTTTTATTTTTTTTATTTTATATTTTTAAATTTCTTTGAGATTATTTTATAACTATTTTTATAATATATAAAAAACATCAAAAAGCATCAAGAAATGCTTTATTATATAATAAAGGCTTTTTTAGATAAATTTATTTTTCTCTTTTATTAGATACCGGTTTATAATTTTTAGTATTTGTAACTTTATTTTATATAAAAACATTGTTTTGAACCCTCAAGTTATCTTTCCCCAGAGGCAATTGATGCTTTACGTTGATGCTTTCTTTAGATTTGATAAACCTATTGATAACTAATTTATAAAAATTAAACTTTTTGTGTGAATACTTAAATACCCACTTTGTACCCACTATGTCTCCCCATCACCGCAACCCAACATGGTTGTATTTTTCCACCACTGTTACTAAGGAATATTTGTTGCTTTTCTCAGCTTTCAATTGATACCAAATTTAATTAAATTGGATGATTTTTATTGCAGTTATGATCAACTTAAGTTGTTTGTTCCAAATAAATGGTCATAATTTTCAGCATAATTCCCTATAAAAATTTTATGTCTAAAAAATTCATAAATTTCTTAAATGACATCAAAAAACTTAAAGTGAGGTATTTTTTTTTAGTTACTAAAAGGTGCTTCTAATGGTGTCTTTGAATTTAATACCACGTTTTTTTGATTTTTTTTGTAACATACCTATATAACAATGCTAGTTTTAAGTTAATTTTAAGATTAATTTCAAGATAACTATTATAAGTTAGTATTTAGTTAGTAAGTTATAATTATTATAACTTTATTTATTAATTTATTTAATGATTTTTTTTTTTATAATTAGTATCAATTTAAAGCGTGTTAGATTTAACTTGTGTTAGTAGCCATTCCAAGTACTACAAAATTTTGCTTTTTTTCGATACTTTCCCTATACCCCCCTTGCATATTATACATGTAGTTGCATTTGAGTTTACCACTAGTGCTAGAAGGCTCTTAACTATTTTCTAGACTGCAAAACTAGAAAATGGCAGGCAAATCGCAAAACATTATATTTTTTTCACTCTCAGTATATATATATATATATATATATATATATATATATATATATATATATATATATATATATATATATATATATATATATATATATATATATATATATATATATATATATATATATATATATATATATATATATATATATATATATATATATATATATATCAGCGCTCGAAATAACGGCCGATCAACGATCAATGATCGTCGACTTTTGGAAAAAATGAAATTTTGAACTCCCAAAATTAATTATGGCCGATCAAATTTGATCGTCTACATTTCATGTCACACATTAGAATAAAAAATTTTTTAACATTTAAAAAAGAATCTTAAATTTATTAAATTAGCATTAAAAAAAATATGTTCATTATTGCTGAATGAAACAAGTTTTTAGACCAATAATAATCTTTTAGTTCACATTAAAAATGGTAATTAAAAAGAAGCGCGAAGTTTATTGTAAATAACTTAATAATGCTTTTGATTGGTGGAATAAACATAGCGTTGATTTCGTAACAGTCTTTAGTTCGAAAGTTTATTAACTGTAAAAGAATTATTTTAATAAAGCGAATTCATTTGAATAAAATGAATTAATAACTAGAAAGGTTAACATTTCTTTGATTGTCTGAAAAATAATGAACAAAGCAAGTTTGTGATTCGTTGGAAAACTTCATTTTGAAATCATAGTGACAATTTAAATTGAAAGAAACAGTTTTTGTTTTAAAGTTTTAGAAATTAAATGGTAAGTTTAAAAATAATCTTAAAATGGAAACATACAAAAAGCGTCAAACATTTATTTCTTTTAAAAGAAACTTAGTATCTGGAACACCCGCTGAGAAAAAACTAAAAACTTATGACAGAAAGCTACAATTACAAACAGCTAATAAATGGAAAGTCTCTACGCTTGCAAAATATAATGCTTATGATTGGCTTGAAATTGAAAGCGTTGACGGAATAGTTACAGCTAAAATGCAAAGTATGCCGAGAATATGCTTCGCAAATTCAGATTTTAAAAGGCTACACTCCGGAATGGAGCTGTGGAAAAGGATGTAGTCGATTGCAACATAGTTCTGCAATCACGCATGCAGAGGGAATGTCTCATCAGAAGGCTTTTGAGATTTTTATGAAAACGAGAGGCATGAATTTGTGCGATCGAATTGAAAAACTAAACGAGTTGCAGCAGGAAATGCGGCAAACAGACATTTTATCCGGTATTCAAACCATGAATAGTAAAGACTTGGATTTGACAAAAAAAAATTTGAGGTCGCTTACTTTATAGCAAAAGAAGAACTATCGCTTTGCCTATACCCAAAAATAATTCAATTAGAAGAGAAACATGGTGTAGTTTTTGGTCAGGCTTATAAAAAGGAAAACACATGCGGAGTATTTATTGACTACATTGCTCTTAGTTTAGCAATAGATCTCAAAAATAAACTAAATACTCGAAATTTTTTCACTATTTTAATTGACGGTTCTAACGACGTTTCAATTAAGGAAAAAGAAGCTATATTTGCCGTTACTTTTAATCCGGCTCCAACTGGAAAATCTGAAGTAAACGTTGAATGTGATTTTCTTTCACTTTTGGATGTTGAGTATGGAACTTCGCACGGAGTTTTCAACACCATAAAAAAGTCACTCGAGAATATAGAAATCGTAAATTGCAATAAAAAACTAGTTGGATTTGGTGCGGATGGCGCATCCGTTAACAGAGGGAGCAAGTCGGGCGTTAAAATGTTGCTCAAGGCTGAAGTCCCCTGGATCACGTTTGGCTGGTGTGTAGCACATCGTCTCGAGTTATCATTAAAAGAAAAATTAGGAAAAACAGCCTCATTCAATGACGTTGATTACACGATTTTAAAAATGCATTACATTTACAAAAAATCCCCCAAAAAGTTAAGACAGTTGGGTGAACTCGTTTCTATTTTAGAAGATGATGAATATAACATTGGTGGTTACCGACCTAAGAAAGCCTCCGGTATTTTCTTTTTTTTGCTTGATTTATTTATCTTATATTTATTACCATTACAGTTATGCGTGACGCCTATATTTTTAGTTTTTGCAAGTATAAAGTAAATTATAAATTGTATAATCTTGTTTCATTTTTAGGTACACGATGGATTTCACATAAAGTTCAGGCTTTAGAAATGATTTTAGATAAATACGGTGTTTATTTAACACATCTGGAAAATATGACTGAAGATATAACATTTACCAATGCTGAAAGAGCTAAGTTTAAAGGATACCACAAAAAGTGGATACATGCTAGAATGCCCCTTTATATCGCGTTGTTTATTGAGATTTTAGCACCAGCAAAGATGTTGTCAAAATGTTTTCAAAGTGATGAGATAGATGTGTTGGCTTCATCAGGGTTTGTTCAACAAGCTGAAAGCAATTTAAATCATATTCAAAAAACAAAGTTTATTAATTTGCCAACAGTAAAACGTTTTCTTGCCAAAGTGACTGAAAAAGAAGGAAAGTTTTATTTCCAGGGTGTTGCACTTAACGACTTTGTAAATGCTAAACATTTAGTAAAAAAGTCTAAATCTATTCATATCGAGTTGGTAACAAATTCGATCATAGAGCGTTTGGAAACAAGCGATACTATTACTGATATGTATGGTACAAAAGTTTTAAATACAGAAGGTTGGCTTCAAAGTATTGAAAATGAAACATTCCTGGATGAAGGAATAGAAAATCTTTTTGACTTTTATAGAGCGCCGTTGCGACATGCTGGTTTTGCAGGAACTGTAAATGGTGTTTTGGATGCTTGGCATAGCTTGGTAAACTACACTGTAAAATATTTAGCACCACATAATACCGGCTATCGTAAGTTATGGCATCAAATTTTTTCTAGCTCAATGAAAAATGAATGGGTTCCGGTTTTACTTATTGTCGAACTATTATTTACTTTGCCTGTTTCTAATGCGAAAGTTGAACGCCTTTTTTCACTAATGAATAGAGTAAAAACGGATACAAGAAACTCTCTGAAAGAGAAACGTTTAGAAAATTTAATTCGA